CTATAAGAACAGCCCGCCACAGGGTTAAGCCAGACATTAGACAACCTCCTACAGTGGAGGCGACATAAGTTCTCTGTCCGTCTCACTCTCTCCGTCTCTCTTTCTCTCTGTCAGTTATTCACTTCCCTGTCTATGGGAAGGAGCAGAGTAAAAAACAGTCGAACTTTACTGGATAAACTTACCAAGTACACAGTTGCCGCTTGCTCGCGAGTTTTACAGAGTGTTTGAGAAGGGCTTAAAAAATTCCCTATTCCTTTATCGCTGGAAATAAGTTATTATTTGTTGACATCAGTTGACTGTGGTGAGGAATTTTATTGTTTCGTAGCAAGATGGATATGCGAGACGATGTCCCACCTCGGCCACAGAATGGACAATCCATTCACAAATACAAGAAACTGTGCATTCTGAAATGGATTTGTGTCGTTGTTACCTCGCTTCTCGTGTCGTCTGCTGCCGTTGTCGTCATTGTTCAAACTGTGAGCGCTATAAACAAGGTGTCCACCGACATCGGCGGCCGGCTGTCTGCCGTGCAGGAAAAGTTCGACAGCCTGGAGAAGAAAGTGTCAGATGATGTCAACAAGGCGCAAAGTTCCGACAAGGCATACATACTAGCCGCTATAAACCAGGTGTCCACCATCATCATCAGCCGGCTGTCTGCCGTGCAGAAAAAGTTCGACAACCTGGAGGAGAAAGTGTCTGATGACGTCAAGGCGCGAAGTTCGGACAAGGCAGGCGTGCTGACCGCAATAAACCAAGTGTCCACCAACATCGGCGGCCAGCTGTCTGCCGTGCAGAAAAAGTTCGACAGCCTGGAGGAGAAAGTGTCTAAGGTGGAAGATGACGTCACCGCGCAAAGTTCGGACAAGGCATGCGTGCTGGCCGCAATAAACCAAGTGTCCACCAATATCAGCCGCCGGCTGTCTGCCGTGCAGGAAAAGTTCGACAAACTGGAGGAGAAAGTGTCTGAGGTGGAAGATGACGTCAAGGCGCGAAGTAAGCTTAAGCTTTGCTCCCACGGCAACGGCTGTGAGCTGACCAGTAGGCCTGAAGCAATGACCCACTGTTACACAGTGTTCGAACAGAAAACTACGTGGGCAGATGCGAGAAAGAAATGTGAATCTCTCGGGGGCTTTCTGGCCGAGTTCCATGACCATGCCTCTCTGGAATACGTGAAACGGGTTGTTACCACTGATACGTCAAGGCTCTGGCTCGGCGCCACTGACCTGGGCAAAGAGGGCATCTGGACATGGGTCACGTCCAACAGACGTTTGTCCGTGGAAGACTGGGCCAGGACCCAGCCGGACAACTACAAGAACAACGAGCACTGCCTGGAGATAAGAAAAGAAATTGGGAGAAAAGTATGGAACGACATGCCATGTGATTACAAGCTGGGATATCTCTGTCAGAGAGACGGGGACAAATGTGAAGGCTGGCTGTAACTTGAGTAAAAGGACACGTGCAAC